GCGGGAGATAGTAAAGGACAGGGAAGCCTGGTATGCTGCAGTTCATGGAGTCGCAAAGAGTCAGACATGACTGAGTGACTGAACAGCAACAATGATAAATGTGAAAATATGAAATTACTGAGGGCTTCGTTTGTCTTGCATATATAATTATTAATTACAAAACAATATAGGAAATATAATGTATCATCTTAGGAGGAGGACAAAGAGACTTTAAGAATATTGTTCTCAAGTCAGACAGGCTGTGCCATTTATTACCATTTACTTACTGTGTAACCTTGAGCACGTCTCAACTTCAGCATCCGTGCGTGTAAAAGAAAGATGATAATAGTACCTGCCTCATAGGGGCACTATGAGAATAAGATGAGATAATACTTGTAAAAAAGCATAGGTCAGTGTCTGGCACATGGAATGAAATTTAAAAAGTGAGCTTTTCTTAAAATTAACACCCCATTCTTCATCGTTTAGATCCATACCCTCTTTTTTGAAATATTTTTTTTTTTAAACTGTGGTATTTGCTTTAATTTGTCCTTAACAGAGAAGCTAAAAGGATATCATTTTCAATTCTCTTAAAGAAGTGTTTCACAGATGCTGATCAGTTCTTAGGACAAAAATGTACATGATGACAGTAAGCATTAGGTAGGTTGGCATTGTGATGATAACACCTATGTGACCATGCAGGTAGAGACATTGAGTCAACAGTAAGGGAACAGCTCTCAAAGACTGAGGAGATGAATAGCAAAATAATTCAAATACATGGATTTTATTTAAAAGCAGAGATGTATTTTAAATATTTCTTAAGTTATAAAATGGGGGAGACAACTAAAAGATGGTTCAATTAAGAACAATTTAACCTTAAAAAAATGTTTAAAGGTTTCTTTGACTTTATTTCCAGGGGGATATTGTTAAACTTTCCCATGTAAACTGAAAGATGGCTTACATCTAATTTTTTAAATGAAATGAAGTTAATAAAACTTAAGAACTTTTTCATTTAAATGGACCCACAATCCCAAATCCTATAGAACATCTGAGTCCAGCTCTAGCACAGCCTGTAGTTTGATTACAGGGTTTACCAGCAGAAGATCATGGCCCACAAGCTGAGTTTTCATGCATATTCCACAATTACTCTTCATGACCTTCACATCCTCATACATTTCTCATCCTGAGATTCATGGGCATCTGTCAGCTGACTCTCTAGCACAGTTCCCACAGTCTCTTACATCACTCTGTGAGACTGACTCTCCAACATGGAAAATTGCACAATATTCCTAATACCCACCAGGACTACCACACTTGATAGTATGTAAAATCCAACGTCTTCATCCCTCTTCACTAAATTACTACCCAGGATCCACCTACTTTTTCAAATTATTCTCAGACTCCATTCTAACCAATTGTCCTCAGTCCCTTCTCTTGCCTATTTTATCCAAACATAAATATATCTGCATAAACTCAGGCATTCCTTCTTTCCCTTAAAAACATGGATTTCTTCTTAGATGGGATTACTGATAAAAATCTCTCATGTCTATGAGTACTTTTAAGGGGATAAATAAAGAAACATGTGGCAGGTTAGTAAATATTTATTCTACCATTTTATTTTTTAGTTTAATATTTAAGTGTTTCTAGTGCTAATAAAAAATAGAAGTAAAGCAGTTTTTTGGCATGAAGAATATGACTCAGGAGCCAAACTATTTGGTTACTAATATCAGCCCTACTACTTCCACTGTGTTATTCTCTCTGAACCTTAGCTGTCTCAACTGTTAAATGAGGGTAATAATAGTATCTACTTAATAGGATTATTTGGAGGATTAAATGAAATAATCCATGTAAAGTACTTTTTAAAAGGGCACGGTACATATCAAGCTTTCAATAAATGTTTGTTGTATTCTTCTTGTCACTATTAATTTATCAAAAGAATAGAACTGGTTGTTTTCTAAGATTTAAGTTTAAATTTGAGTGATTCACAAAATGGGAGTTACCAAATCATGAAAGTATCATTTTGGTCTGAATTTAAGTGTGTGCCTTTTCTTCAGTGGACTTCCCTGGTGGCTCAGTTGGTAAAGAATCCACCTGCAATGCAAGAGACCACCTGTAATTCAGTAGACTTGAGTTCAATCCCTGGGTTGGGAAGATCCTCTGAAGAAGGAAATGGGGGATTTCCTTATCTAAGAGACCCATATTGTTTGTCATGGAATTTATTATGTAATATAGTTGCTTTAAACATAAATAAAATTTACCTTAGGTGCTGCTTATGGGATGTTTTGAGCATACCTATAAATTAAGCTGGGGCTTGCCAGGTTGCTCAGTTTTAAAGAATGTGCTTGCCAATGCAGAAGACGTGAGTTTGATCCCTGGGTCAGGAAGTTCCCCTGGAGAAAGAAATGGCAACCCACTCCAGTATTCTTGCCTAGATAACCATATGGACTGAGGAGCCTGTGGGCAACAGTCCATATGGTCACAAGAGTTGGACATAACTTAGTGACTAAACCACCACTAACTTCACTTCAAAATTTTTGAAATTGTATCTGGAGAGCAGCATAGAAAAATGATTGTTTTTCATCATACAGTACCCCAAACAATTGAACCTGCCAATGCTCTTCCTCTGTTTCTGCCCATAGCATAAGTGTGGAGTCACCCATCATCTCCCAGGGATTGAATCCAATGGTTATCTACATCTGTCCCACTTGACCACTCCCCTTCTTCAGATAGTGCTGTTGCCCAGATACCTACCTTTCTCACTCCATATACTTGCTCTGCATGACCTCATTCTCTCAGGATTTCAATAAATTGATGACTCGATATCCATCTTTACTGCCACTGCCTGATACTAAGCCCTCATCCTTTCCAATCTAGCTTGGAAACTGCCTTGCTGCCTTTTTTCCACTTCACATGGCCACCAGAATGACCTTCCTAAAGTGTAAATCTGACCTTGTCACTCTCGAGCTAAAGCTCTTTAAGGGTTTCCCTTACCTTGTTGCATAAGATCCTAAAATCTTTCATTTATCTATCCCTTCCACATTTTAAAATAATGATCCACATTAGGAAGGCACCCTACAAGTTTTTGTTGTTCAAGCAAAGAACATGGTTCTAAAAGTTTTTGCCAGGGCTGCACATCTTATTCAAATCACTTTCCATTATAAATGGTTAACTGCAGCCTTAAAAATCAATTAGAAGAGCTTCTCAGCTCCAGTAAATACATATTACTGTTTCTCTTGAACTGAAATTTTAAGAACAAGTCAATTACATACAATGCACACATGCTAGTATACACACACACACACACACACACACACACACTATATATTGTGCTTTAAAAAATAGATGTATAGAGTTTTAATAATAGCAAAAGCATGTTATGTAAATGCACAAACAAGTATACTTGAAATCTGTTATGAAAGGAAACAGAGTAATAATGAAACTGATTATGCCATAACTTGATAATATTGTCTACAAGTTTAGAATTTAGTTCTATTATAAATTTCAGACTTCCATATTATAGAACTGCTAAAGATCAGTCTTTGATACAAACTGATAAGTGTCTGATGAGAGTTCACACATCTCAGAGTCTTGAATCAATGTATAGGAATAATGATTAGGGATGTGTAGAAATTAAAGATAAATTGTTAAATAAGGAGAGGGTGATAGCAAGATACTGCTGGATCAAGAGCAGCAGTTTTAATTTTTTCCTGACTAAGGTCCTACTTCTTATAGATGGTGAGACTGAAACAATTAATTAGCCTTTCAAGATGTTACACTTCTCATCTTCAGAAGGAAGAGTTTAATCACACAGATCTCTGAGGCCCTTGCCAGCTTTGAAGTTTGAATATTTAGCTATGGCATACCCACAGAACAGAAAAGCCCTCCCTTGAACAAGCTTCCAGAAGGATACAATCCACTGTGACTCTCAAACACAAACAGTTGATAGACCTCTTAGTTGTCCAGACTTTATGAGGCTCCCCAGTTGACATCTCTGTAAGCCTCCAGCTTCAGTTGTTAAAATCTTCAGCTTCCTCACTAACTTAATCATGCTGGACATTTTCATATAATGTAGCCTGAGTTGTTCTAGGCTTGAACCAATAAAAATTTAAGAGCGAATTCAATATAACCCCCCCCACTCCCCATTTTCAGGTCCAAGTCATGATAGCTCCTTAGCCTTCCAGTGACACACACTAAACACTTCATAAGAAAAGGGCTGGGTGAGTGACTAATGTGTGTTTTTAGCCCCAGTTTCTTGTTTTAGGGATATAACAGCTGTATGCAGTACAATTTCAGGGTAGAACTGGCTGTATTAGACAATTAAAGACATCCACACCATCATAGTCAGAGCAGCTGAATATGTTTTCTACAGTGTAGATTTAATGATTGGATAGAATTATAAGTGAATTGGATTGGCTTCACCATTTTGTACCACATTCTGCTTTATGATGAGTTGCAAGCCAGAGTCTGGGGCTCGCAGCATAACCAATAAAATATAATGAGAAAAAAACAAGCCTGCATTCTAAAGTGTATCGACCAAAAAGCCATCCCAGCATTAAACAACTCTGCTGATATTTAGAATGTCTGTCTCAGACTGCTCTCGTGTTAACTTTCCCTTAGAAAGAAAACCCCTGACATATATTACTATTGTACTCCTGTCAAATACAGGTAAGATCCTGCAAAGAAGATGGAAAAAGAATACAACGTGCTTATCTGCATTATTTAAGCCAAAAAAGGCAATGTGTTTCACATAACTCAAACCAAATTAGCCACATTATCTAAGTCAGAAGTTCAAAACTCACAGAGAAAATCCAACAATCTAATTCTAGTTTGCTTTGATTTGAAGCCTTGTGTTTCTCAGAAGACATGCAAGCCTTGGAACTGAGTCAGAAAAGCGTGTCAAGATGTGATATACTGAAAGAAAAAAAAACAAACAACAAAAAACAATTCACCCAGATAGTGTGAGGCTAGGAAATGTGAGACTGGCCCCACAGCCTTCTGGAACTTAAGCTCCAAATGTCACTTACCCTATGACAATGCAGGAGATGGCCGTTCCCAAGAAGGCATATGTTAAAATAGATCCCAAGTTTTGAAAAAAGTGTCTCTGGGGAGGAAAAGATCGATTTCATATAGTACATCAGATTTTTTCTTCTTAGCATAACAAGAAATAAAAACAAATGCATGTGTTTTCATAGCCTCTCCCTTTCCTCACTTTTATAAAGGCCAATTTTGTTTTTGAAGCCTCAGTTGCTGACCTTATTGTACAAAGAAAACTTAGCTGATTAACACTGTAAAGGGCAGAGGTTTCCAACAAATAGGAAAAAAAATACATCTGGAAAGCGACAGGCCAGAACTGGCTGGCCCTGAGAGAGGAGGAAGGGGCTGGGGCAATGGTCATGCAGGACTCTGGAATGATTAAAGGAAGACAGAGTTTTTAAGAAGTTTTGTTGTCACTGAAACCCCTTTAGCACTTTAAATATACTGTTCTAAAAGATTTAAGTTGCCATTTGACTTTTACTGGATCTTTGATTTACTGTTTTTCTGAAAGTGATGAAACTGAACCTTAATCACCTACAACAGTTTATTTTAATGAATCACACAAAATGATGCTTAGTCTTGGGGCTGGGATGAAGAAGGATGAGCAGAATAAATCCAGCTTTCTAAATCTTTTCAAATGCTTGCTTGGAAAAACTCCCTTCCAGTTCTATAAGTGGTAACTAAGTAGTCAGAACTGACAGCAAGAGGGAGCCCAAAGTACACAAGAAAATCAAGTCTGTACTGAACTAGTAAAGGCTGCTGAAGCCTACAGGCCAAAGGGAGGAGAGAGCCCTAGGAATCTCTGGAATCAGGGGTGGGCAGCAGGAAAGCAACCACATTAACTCTGCATCTCAAAACTCATTCAGGCTGGAGCCTTGATCTGTGGCCCTGGTGAGGCTAGCATGTAGACTTTGGTGTGAATTACTAATTTAGGAAATGTACATGTTCAGGCTGCACATAAGTAATGTTTTGCAAGTGCAAAAAAAATGCGAGACTGAACTTTCTATAAACTCAATGTTAATTAACAGCAAACCCTTTGGTTATAATCATCTAGAATAAAATTGCCCAATAGAAATATAATGGAAACCATATATGTCATTTAAAATGACATATGTAAAAAAAATTAAATGACATGTGTACTTTTCTAGTAGTCATATTAAAATAAGTTTTTAAAAAGTAAAATGAATGTTGATACTATAATGTATCCAAAAATTATCATTTCTACATGAAATAAATATAAAACATTGTTGAAATATTTTACATTCTTTTTTTATACTGAGCCTGTAAAATCCAGTGCATATTGTACACTTAAAGCACATCTTCATTCAGACTAGTCAAGTTTCAAGGGCTTAATAGCTGCACATGACTAACAATCAGTATACTGGCCAGAGCAAGTTTAGAAGAATTCTAAGCATGTCAGATTTGAATCTGTATCACACAATCTAAGATAATGATATTTTTACCAAATAGGTAAACACATAAAATAAAATGATACTTTTTTTTTTCAGTAGTGCTGGCAAGATTCTCTATTTAATGATAAAAGAAAACAATCACTGTATATTTACCTTCTTTAGACTATATCCAGCATGAAATATAATTGGCGGCAGTAAAACATTGAAGAAGATTTCTGGATCAAATGTCATCTGCCAAAAAACACAAATGTGTAGTTATGAAGATGCTCTTTTGGGCTAATAAAAATAAAGTTTAAAAAAAGTTATAGTTGCCTTTGCTAAAGTTGTATGAGACATATCAACATACTGTTAAATTAGCAGAGATGAAAATAAGAGAAAATGCAAATTTAGAAATTTATGATTGACTATAACTTATAAAGTAATATTGTAAATGTAAAACTTACATTCCATTCTGTAGTTAATATGAACAACATAAAATCTGAAAGAAACCTTTCGAGGCAAAGAAAATTTTTTGTTTTTATTTTGATTAGTTATTCATTCTTCACATTTTAAATGTTTTTATTCTATTTTTTTTTTTTTTTGGTTGAAGGAATTGGTAGTGTTCAAACATTTTAGCTTCTGACATGATTTATTTAAAGTTTTCCCAAATAAAACATTTTTAGAAATTTAGTCTTATTTTTCCCTACTTTATCCTATTCCAAAGTTCAGAATATTTTCCAGACTCTGAAAAAAACACATTTGAAAGAGAAAAAGGATTTTTCCTAGTATTTGTTTATTGGCTTTTACTTAAATGCTAAAATAAACTTGGCAAAAATTCCTTAGTGTGAAGTATGATGAAATGAGATGTAGAAATTCTTGAATCCAATACATGCTCTGTGCTGAGTAGTCTGAAATGAAAACTAACTTAATCTTTAAAACCTTCCTTAGATTCATCCTCTTCTTCTCTACTTCTCTCACATTCTGTCTCTCGCTCTCATACACACATACACACACACATACACACGTGTGCGCACACATACATACACTGCCATTCATTATTTCTCCACTAAGGCCTTCTTACCATTATAACACTCATCAAAATCTTTCAGATGTACAGGTCTCACAACTACACTTTCTATACTTTTTTGCCCGAATTCTTACTCATCTCTGAAGCTGATTCTCAAAAACTACTTCTCTCTGAAACATGCTCTGATTTCCCCAGTCAAAACCGACTGTTCTTTCTTCTGTGGTCTTTCAGCACTTTGTACCCTCCCTTGTAGCATATGCTTCATAACATAGTTTATCAGTTTCTGTTTGACTGTTTTCTCCATTAAACTGGGAACCCATCAAGGATCACAATGATGCCTTGGCTAATTCTGTGCTGCTTTCATCCCTTCCAGGGCTAGCTTATTGCTGGATATATTTTTCTAAATTGGGAAAAAAATTAATTGCCTTTGAAAGTCAAATCTATTAAAATGGAGTGAATTATGAAAAAGTGAAAATGTTAGTCGCTCAATTGTGTCACTCTTACGACCCCATGGACTGTAGCCTACCAGGCTCCTCTACCCATGGAATTCTCCAGGCAAGAACACTGGTTGCCACTCCCTTCTCCAGGGGATCTTCCCCTACGGATCAAACCCAGGTCTCCCACATTGCAAGCAGATTCTTTACCATCTGAGCCACCAGAGAATTTATATATATATCTCCCTAAAAACCTTACATATCACAGGTAAGAATTACTTAAGTAAAAACTAAGAAAAGTTTTTCTTAACTCCATTATTTACTTTGGGTCTAATCGAGCATTGCCAGAGTCCCTCTTCTCCCTTCCCCACACTGGCCCCTTGACTCTACTCATCTAATATTTGGGAAGGGGTAGGCTGCGGAAGTAGGAACCATGTAACTCAGTTGGGTGCCCACTTATAAGCCTAGTTATTCTCTCACCGATGCCACAAGCTCTTGGACCAGTGAGCATTCAGGCAGAACAGCTTGGCCCATCCGGAGCTTTCTTGTGCCTCTCATGTTTCTTCATCTTTAAGATGAACACAATAATTTTACACCTATTTTCTAAGGTGGTTGTAAAAATTAAGTGAATTAATACTTGTAAAGTTCTTGCAGCATTGCTTAACATCTAGTAAGCACTTTTAAGAATTCATTACTAAAGAAAATGAAATATCTGAATTAATATTGTAAAGTTATATGATTTGAAGAAACTGCCCCATTGTCAGGAACTCTTAAGTGTTACAACTGTGTAACATTTGGGCAAAGAGATTACTTCTCCTTCTAAATTTACTCTTTTTTTCTAAGATTATCTAAAACACCATTATTGATCTATTTTTGAGGCCTCTTCAAGAGTCTATCAGTGGCATATATGAAAGCTTTTGCAAAGAGATGTATTTCGTTCTGGAGGAGTGAAGCCATATAGCTGTGATCTGTGATCATCTGGAAGAGAGGATTACAGTGGCACAACATCTTGGGCAGAAAATCCCTCGCCTCTGCAGTTTTTCTGCAAAAATCAGGTTAATCACTCAACCAGAACATTTCAATAATCAGAGTGCCCCATTCCCTGCATGCAGGTTAACTAATGTGCTATTGAATTATATTTTCTGGAGCAGCCAGATGAAACTGGCAGGCTGAGAATGGCATGCAGAGTACGAGGATTTATTTGTATATACAAAACAGATTTGTGTTCCTTTCAGACTTGCTATAAGCTTAGGAACTGCTAAATCAGAGTTCTGGGAGTAACTCCAAACCCAGATAATTTCTCAGAAATGGCTGGATCTGCCACTGCACCAGACTCCAGATGGTGGTTCCACATGTCATTTTCCTCAGACTTTGTGTTCAAATCATGGCCTTGGAGGTGAGACTGGTTTAAAAGCCCAAACAATTAAAATTTTTCATTAGTATGAGGGGGAAAAAAATCTAAGACAGATGTGAAATGGAAGGACAGAAAGTTAAAAATCTTTCAGCTAAACATACTAGTTTTAAAATACAAGTTTTAAGACCAGCACTGTCCAACAGAACTTTCTGTGATGGTGGAAATATTCTGTTACTATCCTGCCCAATAGAGTAGCCATGGGCCATATGATCTATTGAGCAATTGAACTGGAGGCTACTGGAATGGGGGGACTGAAATTTTTATTTTTCTGTGGCTAGTAACTATGGGACAGTACATTTATAGACAGTTACTAGAATTTAAAACTTCAGACCATTCAGTTTTTAGATGGTTTATCGTCCTATATAAGGAATGATTAATTTGGAGCAACAGACCTACAACTCAAATGGTAGAATTATGAACGCTTCATGAAAACTGAGATTTTAAAATATTGGGATTCAATTCTTAAAATACCAGATAGTATGAGACAGAAAAATACCGATATGTTCAACTAATACAAGGATGCAGTAGTTTTATCTATTATCTCAAATATGCACTAGTGTTTGGCTAGGAATAGCCCAGACATACATTCATAGAGATAATCAACTTGAAAACTTCCAAGAGTAGAAGGGAAAGGTACCAAGTTCAACTCTCAAGTTCATCAGAAGGTTATAGATACAAAATTCTGTCTGGGCCTAAGTATTAAGGCATCCAGTGACTCAATATGAATTATTTGGAAAAAATAGTTGCATAGTGTTCTATGCAACTACTAACTAAATAAGCACTAAAATAACCACTTTAATGGGGGACTGTGATTTATGTGGCATATTACTTCTAAAGAGGCCTTTTAAAAACATTTTCATCAACTCTGACAGCATGGTAGCTGGCAGACGCAATTATGCCCTTTTTCCACAGACAGGAGAAGAAATGAAAGGCATGCCCGGTGTCAATCAATGTGACAGGGGTATCACTGGGAACTGGGTATGTATGCAGGGGCAAACTAAATGTGTGCTTTTCAGTCGAGAACCAGGCTAACATAACTGCTTAAACCAAGATTTAGGAGTGTTTAAGAGAGGTTGGCACTCAGAAACAGGCTTCATTATTCTGGCAATTCCCAGCTCCTTTGGAAAAATAAAAGTAGTTAACACAATAATATGTTCACTTATCTGCAATGATTTGTTCATTAGAAATCTAGTGAGCCCTGTCTCTGCTGTAATCCAGAGTTCTCTAGAAGACAGATAGCACTTTGGGCTTGCTGACCCTGCAGGGAACCTTGATCTTAAATCAGCACATGAGCTGAGTTTTGAAGGATGAACCTCTCCAGAGGGCACCAACATACAAAACCATGCTCCTTTGTCTGCCCTGGGAGCATTGGGCCAGGGTTCACCAAGCCACAGGGCAAACTGGCAGCTTCCTGAAGTTTCAGTTATACTTAAAAGCAAGTAGTTTGAAATATTTTAAGCATGCAGATATATTTAAAAGTGAAAATCAATAATTGCATGCATTTTTAATATGTATAGAAGACTTCAAAGAAATCTTGGCTTGCTCAGGGAAGGCAGGTCTAGAAAACACAAGAATGAGTGTTTCCTTTCCTCTGCCCTAGGTGATGCTTTGGTGTGAGAAGTACCAGAGGAGGGAAAAGAAGAATAATTTCAGAATATATACTGAAAATACACCACCTACAAATTAGATAAGGTTAATCTACTTACTTAATCTCTCTGAGCCTCAGTTTCCTCATTTGTAATTTGCCTACTTCCTAGACTTGCTTTTCATGATTAGATGTAATAAGAGATGTAAAGGGGTCTACGTGGTACCCAACACTGATTGTTTCTCAAGAAATGGTCACTGTACCTGAATTGAAATGAAAGAAACTGTTGATGCAATGGATTGAGGATTGGAGGTACGAGGCACGAGGCACAGAAATATTCATTCAAACATGGAGAAAAGTAGAAACGTTTTACCCAGCAAGATTAAACAATAAAATGGCTATTGGGAGTATAAATTTGTATAACTTTTTAGTAGGGTAATTTAGCAACAGCTATCAAAATGTCAAATATCCATACTATTTGATTCAGCAACATCTGATCTGAGAATTTATTCTGCAGATATGCTTGCACATGTGTGGAATGACATAAGGACAAGAGTATTCATTGCAGATGAATGAATGGGGAAAAAAAGAGAACATTGAGGATGACTGAGCCACAGACTGGTTAAATAAATCACAGTATACAGCTGACTCTTGATCAAGGTAGGGGAGTGCTGACTCCCCATGCTTGAAAATCCAGGTATAACTCACAGTTGGCCCTCTGTATACGAGGTTTTTCTCTTTCTGCAATTTCTACTTATCTATGGTTCTGCCTCTGCAGATTCCAATAACTGT